TACAATAAGATCCAATGGAAAAAGCAAGGAGAGAGGAGGAGGTAGAGGTTGTGACACTGAAGCTGCAACGAGATAGGTAAGATGGGAACCATTGAAGAGAGCAGTCATGGAGACCAAGGGAATGGAGTTTTTTGAGGAGAAGGTTGGTCTGTTGGCAGTTGGCAGTGGGGAGGTTCCCTTTTATCACATCAGGGTCCTCATCAAAATCTCCCGCACATCAGGGTCCTCAGTAAAGACCCCATTACATCAGGGTCCTCAGTAAAGTCCCCTCTACAAGAAGATCCTAATGGAAAAAGTAAGTAGAGAGGAGGAGGGTAGAGTTGTGACACTGAAGGTGCAATGAGATAGCAGTCATGAAGACAAAGTGAATGGAGGAGGGGTGGTCAAATGGCAGTGGGTAGGTTCCCTTTTATTACATCAGGGTCCTCATCAAAGTCCCCCGTACAATAAGACCCTAGTGGAAAAAGCAAGGAGAGAGGAGGAGGTAGAGATGTGACACTGAAGGTGCAGTAGGATAGGTAAGACGGGAACCAATGAAGAGAGCAGTCATGAAGACCAAGGGAATGGAGTTTTTTGAGAAGCAGGTTGGTCAGTTGGCAGTGGGGAGGTTCCCTTTTAGCGCATCAGGGTCCTCATCAAAATCCCCCGTACAATAAGATCCTAATGGAAAAAGCACGGAGAGAGGAGGAGGTAGAGTTGTGACACTGAAGGTGCAATGAGATAGCAGTCATGAAAGACAAAGGGAATGGAGGAGGGGTGGTCAATTGGCAGTGGGGAGGTTCCCTTTTATTACATCAGGGTCCTCATCAAAGTCCCCTCTACAATAAGATCCTAATGGAAAAAGTAAGTAGAGAGAAGGAGGTAGAGATGTGACACTAAAGGTGCAGTAGAGATAGGTAAGATGGGAACCATGAAGAGAGCAGTCATGAAGACCAAGGGAATGGAGTTTTTTGAGGAGGAAGGGTGGGTCAATTGGCAGTGCGGGAGGTTCCCTTTTTATTACATCAGGGTCCTCATCAAAGTCCCCCATGCAATAAGATCCTAATGGAAAAGCAAGGAGAGAGGAGGTGGTAGAGATGTGACACTAAAGGTGCAATGAGATAGGTAAGACGGGAACCATTGAAGAGAGCAGTCATGGAGACCAAGGGAATGGAGTTTTTTGAGGAGGTTGGTCTGTTGGCAGTGGGGAGGTTCCCTTTTATCACATCAGGGTCCTCATCAAAATCTCCCGCACATCAGGGTCCTTAGTAAAGTACCCATTACATCAGGGTCTTCATCAAAATCCCCCGTACATCAAGGTCCTCAGTAATGACCCCATCATCAGGTCCTCAGTAAAGACCCCTCTACAAGAAGATCCTAATGGAAAAAGTAAGTAGAGAGGAGGAGGTAGAGTTGTGACACTGAAGGTGCAATGAGATAGCAGTCATGAAGACAAAGGGAATGGAGGAGGGGTGGTCAATTGGCAGTGGGTAGGTTCCATTTTATTACATCAGGGTCCTCATCAAAGTCCGCCTACAATAAGATCCTAATGGAAAAAGCAAGGAGAGAGGAGGATGTAGAGTTGTGACACTGAAGGTGCAATGAGATAGGTAAGATGGGAACCATTGAAGAGAGCAGTCATGGAGACCAAGGGAATGGAGTTTTTTGAGGAGCAGGTTGGTCAATTGGTAGTGGGGAGGTTCCCTTTTATCGCATCAGGGTCCTCATCAAAATCCCCCGTACATCAGGGTCCTCATCAAAGTCCCCCCTACAATAGGATCCAATGGAAAAAGTAAGGAGAGAGGAGCAGGTAGAGTTGTGACACTGAAGGTGCAACGAGATAGGTAAGATGGGAACCATTGAAGAGAGCAGTCATGGAGACCAAGGGAATGGAGTTTTTTGAGGAGGAGGAGGAGGGGTGGTCAATTGGCAGTGGGGAGGTTCCCTTTTATTACATCAGGGTCCTCATCAAAGCCTCCCCTACATCAGGATCCCCATTAGATCCCCATCAGCGGAGACCCGAAGCAACCTCCGATCTGAATCCTCGACCTGCGCAGCTTGAGGATACACCGCTGACCCCAGTTGTGGGCCAGAAAAAAAAATCTCGTGGTGGGCTCAGTTTTTTTTATAACGAGAAAAACATTTCTTCTTGACACCCAATTACCATCAGATGCACGTCTGGACGAATATTCCGCCACGTATTTTTATAGTGGTGAGTAACCCTCCACGTGTTGTTCTCCCAGGAACGTGTCCAAGCCTTTTTAGAAACTATATACCGTATCTACCAGAAGCAGATCCCGTGAAAGGCTGTTCCGGGTTTTCTCAGCTCAGACATCCTTCTCCTCCAACCAGCGGGGCTCCTCTCGTGTTTTTTTTTGCACCGACTTTTGAGTTAAAGTGCATCTAAACCCAAGAACGAAAATGGACATACCAGTCCTTAGATATGGCGGCTGCGTTAGTGACACACTTCCTGTCCCAGGGTGACAACATTCACTCACTGTACCATTTCTATAGGTTGTCACCATGTTGGAACAAGAGAACATCTCCACATCTCCATAACGTTGAGGGCTGATGGAATTTCTCGAGTTAGCAATGTAAAGTTGGCAACCCAACCCCTTTTTTGCCCAGCCCCCGGTGCCCATTTAATTGATTACCCCCCCCCCATCGGGCAGAAAGGACTTCCCCATCACCTGACCCCTGTGATTGGATGGATAACCATCCAACTATTCCACAGAGCTCCAAAGACCTCGTACCCACCAAACCTCTTCCTATAATCTGACCCAACTGACCCATAAAAAATGAGAAAGGATGGGCCAATGTTCTCCCTCCATCCACGCTTCTGGAACGATCTCCATGACCCGTACCCTTGCAGTTCCCCCAATCGCTTGGCTGTCAACCTCCAATGGGGTGAGGCCTCTTGAACCTTCGTGACCTTCTAACACTTTCACGTGACTATCCTCCCCCAGTCATGTTCATTTTTATTCCTCCAGGATGGTCTTTCTTTATGTAGCTAGTGGCTAGGATGAGTCCATGGACCCATTTTTCACAGAGATGTAGTGCTCAGTGATGGAGTTGGAGAAGTTTCCTTGGACGACCAAAGTGTTTGAAGGGGTGCAAAGTGGTGATGGAGTCATGTAGACCCTCTATTATTTTTTCCTCCAGGCCTGTCTTTTTTATGTAGCTAGAGGATGGGGATGAACTCCTGTTCTAGGACGAGTCCATGGATTCATTCTTCTCATGATATGTAGTTCCGGAGATGGGGCCCATTTATGGAGTTGGAGACAATTCCCTTGGTTGGCCAGAATGAGGTCCGAACTGAGTGGTTTCCTGACGGAAGTTTATGGGGTCCAGAGTCATGATGGAGTCATTTTTTCCTCCAGGCCTGTTTTTTTATGCAGCTAGAGGACGGGGGTGAACTCCTTTTCTAGGACGAGTCCATGGATCCATTATTCTCATGTACGTAGTGCCGGAGATGGGGCCCAGTTATGGAGTTGGAGACAATTCCCTTGGTTGGCCAGAATGTTATAGAGAGAGAGAGTGGTGATGGAGTCTTACGAACTTGGAGATGGTTTCCTGGGAGGACCAGAACGTTTATAGGGGTCCAGAGTCATGATGGAGTCATGTAGCCCCTCTATTATTTTTTCAACCAGGCCTGTTTTTTTTATGTAGCTAGAGGACGGGGGTGAACTCCTTTTCTGGGACGAGTCCTTGGATCCATTTTTCATAGATATGTATTTCCGGAGATGGGGCCCATTTACAGAGTTGGAGACAATTCCCTTGGTTGGCCAGAGGTCCAGAGTGGTGATGGAGTCATGTAGCCCCTCTATTATTTTTTCCTCCAGGCCTGTCTTTTTATGCAGCTAGAGGACGGGGGTGAACTCCTTTTCTAGGACGAGTCCATGGATCCATTTTTCACAGAGATGTAGCGCCAAGTGATGGAGTTGGAAACGTTTCCTTGGACGACCATGCAAAGTGGTGACGGAGCCATGTAGCCCCTCGATTCATTATTTCCCTCCAGGTCTGTCTTTCTCCATGTACGTTAGTGGCTGGGGGAGTCCATGAGTCCATTTTATACAGATGGAAATGCCGGCGATGGGGCCCACTTACGAACTTGGAGATGGTTTCCTGGGAGGACCAGAACGTTTATAGAGATCCAGAGTCATGATGGAGTCATGTAGCCCCCCTCTATTATTTCTTTCCTCCAGGCCTGTCTTTTTTATGTATCTAGAGGACGGGGGTGAACTCCTGTTCTAGGACGAGTCCATGGATCCATTTTTCATAGATATGTATTTCCGGAGATGGGGCCCATTTACAGAGTTGGAGACAATTCCCTTGGTTGGCCAGAGGTCCAGAGTGGTGACGGAGTCATGTGGCCCCTCTATTATTTTTTCCTCCAGGCCTGTCTTTTTTATGTAGCTAGAGGACGGGGGTGAACTCCTTTTCTAGGACGAGTCCATGGGTCCATTTTTCTCATGTATGTAGCGCCGGAGATGGGGCCCAGTTACGGAGTTGGAGACAATTCCCTTGGATGGCCAGAATGGTTATAGAGTCCAGGGTGGTGATGGAGTCTTACCAACTTGGAGATGGTTTCCTGGGAGGACCAGAACGTTTATAGAGGTCCAGAGTCATGATGGAGTCACGTAGCCCCTCCATTCCTCATATTCCTCGGGGTCTTTTATGTAGCTGGTGGCTGGGGGTGAGCTGCTTACATACGATGGGTCCCAGGATCCGTTCCATGTAGTGTGTAGATGGGGCCCATTTCCAGAGATGGTTTCCCCGGAGGAGCGGAATGTTTATAGAGCGGGACGGAGAATTCGATGTAGAAATCCGAATGAGCACAGGTGAGCTTTTCAGCAATGAGGGAAAAGGGGGAAAAAAAAAGTTGATGAGTTACAAATGATTTCCTTTCCGGGTGATTCTCCTCTTTGGAGGTTATAACATGTAGAAGCTCTAATGATCCACCATCTCCATGACGTGTGCTGGGAGGTACAATTGTATGGCCAAAAGTATTGGGACAATCGCCTCCATATCATGTGATTCAGGTGTTCCAATCCCCTCCATATCATGTGATTCAGGTGTTCCAATCCCCTCCCAATCATGTGATTCAGGTGTTCCAATCCCCTCCCAATCATGTGATTCAGGTGTTCCAATCCCCTCCATATCATGTGATTCAGGTGTTCCAATCCCCTCCATATCATGTGATTCAGGTGTTCCAATCCCCTCCATATCATGTGATTCAGGTGTTCCAATCCTCTCCATATCATGTGATTCAGGTGTTCCAGTCCCCTCCATATCATGTGATTCAGGTGTTCCAATCCCCTCCCAATCATGTGATTCAGGTGTTCCAATCCCCTCCATATCATGTGATTCAGGTATCCCAATCCCCTCCAAATCATGTGATTCAGATGTTCCAATCCCCTCCATGTCATGTGATTCAGGTGTTCCAATCCCCTCCATGTCATGTGATTCAGGTGTTCCAATCCCCTCCATATCATGTGATTCAGGTGTTCCAATCCCCTCCATATCATGTGATTCAGGTGTTCCAATCCCCTCCCAATCATGTGATTCAGGTGTTCCAATCCCCTCCATATCATGTGATTCAGGTGTTCCAATCCCCTCCATATCATGTGATTCAGGTGTTCCAATCCCCTCCCAATCATGTGATTCAGGTGTTCCAATCCCCTCCATATCATGTGATTCATTTATCCCAATCCCCTCCATATCATGTGATTCAGGTGTTCCAATCCCCTCCATATCATGTGATTCAAGTGTCCCAATCCCCTCCCTATCATGTGATTCAGGTGTTCCAATCCCCTCCATATCATGTGATTCAACTGATCACCAAATTGCACAACTAATAGATTGGTATGCAGGCCATACATGGTTCAAATTCCAAACGATTTTTCATCCAAAAATCGAAACGTCATTCGTTCTGTAATTCAATGGTGCCACCAATGATTTCAAAAATCGGTAGTTTTTCACGAATTTTCCAGCATGCCGATAAACGAAATGGGGAGGAACCACGAAAACAGACTGTAAGCAAGCAACTGATTAAAATATTGCACAGTAATAGGGTGTAAGCAAGCAACTGATCAGCAGATTGTACAACTAATAGAGTGTAAGCAAGCAACTGATCAGCAGATTGCAAAACGAACAGACTGTAAGCAAGCAACTGATCAGCAGATTCTAAAACTAACAGACTGTAAGCAAGCAACTGATGAGCAGATTGCACAACTAACAAACAGTAAGCAAGCAGAGTGAAATGATATGAAATCCATGGCCCGTATTTTTATTTTAATGCTTGTATGCAGCCAGTAGTTCTAACAGGTTTACATCGACTTCTGCTCAGTAAAGCCCCGTAGTTCCCCTTTAAGCGTCGCCTCCGCAGGAACGCCCGGCGACAACGCGGCAGAATGGCCGGCATTTCTGCAACCAGGCGAGTTCCGCGTTCCCCTCCAGCACACAAAGAGTGACACAGGCCGTTCCCAGGAGCTTAGCGCGGGCGGGGGGAGGCGTTCGGGGACATCTGCTGCGTATTTTTTGTTCCTTTTTTTTTTTCCCTCAACAAGAGAGATCACCAATTAAAGGAAAATTCAGCGCGCCGCCTCCTCCTGTCGCTGGGTTTGATACCCGTCTCAGTTCCCTAATTAGCTGATATATTATCCGCCTGGTTTTTTTTTTCTGTCCTCTCCCTCCCGTATCTCCCACTTCTTCCTGTCTGCCTCCGTTCCCACGGGATCCAGCGCGGCGAGGACGCAGCCCAGGAGCTGCCAGGACCCAGTTTGGGATTCTGATCGTTCTTTTTTTTTCACGCTCGGCCTGTGACGTCCTGCGATTTGATCAGGCGGTAATTACAGCGATCTTTTCCCCGGTCGCTCTTATTAGGACGCAGTACAATCACCTCGCCGGTCCCTGGAGCCGGAAGACATGCTAAAGGAGGATTTTTTTTTTATTACCGACACATTTAATTAAACAGATTTTTTTTTTCTTTTGTTACCGACACATTTAATTAAACGGATTTTTATATTTTTTTTTTACTTTTTTTTATTTTATTACTGAGACATTTAATGAAACAAAGAATTATTTTTTTTTCCCTTTTTTTTTTTTGTTACCGACACATATAAGTAAACAGATTTTTTTAAAACTTTTTTTTTATTACCGACACATATAATTAACCGGATTTTTTTATTACTTTTTTTTGTTACCGACACATTTAATTAAACTGATTTTTTTTTTTTTTTATTACTTTTTCTTTATTTTATTACTGAGACATTTAATGAAACAAAGAATTATTTTTTTTTACTTTTTTTTTTTTTTTTACCGACACATATAAGTAAACGGATTTTTTTAAACTTTTTTTTATTACCAACACATATAATTAACCAGATTTTTTTTATTACTCTTTTTTTGTTACCGACACATTTATTGAAACAGATTTTTTTTTTTTACTTTTTTTTTTTATTACTGACATTTAATTAAACAAATTTTTATTTTTCTTTTACTTTTTTTTGTGTTTACCCGACACATATAAATAAAAAGATTTTTTTGTAGGTTTTTTTTTTATTACCGACACATATAATTAACCAGATTTTTTTATTACTCTTTTTTTGTTACTGACACATTTATTGAAACAGATTTTTTTTTTTACCTTTTTTTTTATTATTACTGACACATTTAATTAACCGGATTTTTTTATTACTTTTTTTTATTACCGACACATTTAATTAAACGGATTTTTATATTTTTTTTTTACTTTTTTTATTTTGTTACCGACACATATAAGTAAACAGATTTTTTTAAACTTTTTTTTTATTACCGACACATATAATTAAACCAGATTTTTTTATTACTCTTTTTTTTTTACCGACACATTTATTGAAACGGATTTTTTTTTTTTACTTTTTTTTTTTTTTATTACTGACATTTAATTAAACAAATTTTTATTTTTTTTTTTTTATTTTTTTTTTTTGTTACCGACACATATAAGTAAAAAGATTTTTTTTTGTAGTTTTTTTTTTATTACCGACACATATAATTAACCAGATTTTTTTTATTACTCTTTTTTTGTTACCGACACATTTATTGAAACAGATTTTTTTTTTTTTACCTTTTTTTTATTATTACTGACACATTTAATTAATCACATTTTTTTTTTTTTTTACTTTTTTTTTTTGTTACCGACACATATAATTAACCGGATTTTTTTATAACTTTTTTTTGTTACTGACACATTTAATTAAATGGATTTTTTTTTTTTTACTTTTTATTTATTTTATTACTGAGACATTTAATGAAACAAATTTTTATTTTTTTTTACTTTTTTTTTTTTTATTACCGACACATATAAGTAAACAGATTTTTTTTTTACTTTTTTTTATTACCGACACATATAATTAACTGGATTTTTTTATTACTCTTTTTTTTGTTACCGTCACATTTATTGAAACGGATTTTTTTTTTTTTTTTTTTTTTTATTATTACTGACACATTTAATTAAACAAATTTTTATTTTTTTATTACTTTTTTTTTGTTACCGACACATTTAATTAGACAGATTTTTTTTTTTTACTTTTTATTTATTTTATTATTGAGACATTTAATGAAACAAATTTTTATTTTTTTTTTACTTTTTTTTTTGTTACCGACACATTTCTTGAAACGGATTTTTTTTTACTTTTTTTTATATTATTACTGACACATTTGATTAAACAAATTTTTTTTTTTTTTACTTTTTTTTTTTTTATTACCGACACATTTAATTAAAACAGATTTTTTTTTTAGCTATATTTATCCACGCCTGAGATCTGTGAAAGTAGGTCTGCTTGGAGCGTCCCGCGAGGAAATACAACCGCGCATCCACAGCGACCATCATTTCCACGTTTATTCCAAGTGGACCCGTCATCGCCTGCCAGCGCCTTCATCAGCTTTTGTCTCCAGAAGGACGACATCGTCTTCTCTTTCAGGCGTCTCCCTCTACATCTGAGCCGTATTCACAAATGTCTGACGCAGATCAGCCCCCTGCTGCAACCTCTCACCTCGTGGCTACAGAGTTACAGTGTTCCTCCTTCTAGAGTCTGATCACCGGGGGGAGGGGAGACTGAGGAAATGACTCCTCCTTCTACAAAATTACAATGTACAGTAACAATAGACCCCCCAGTAACAATAGATCCCCCAGTAACAATAGACCCCCCAGTAACAATAGACCCCCCAGTAACAAAAGAGCCACAGTAACAATAGACCCCCCAGTAACAATGGACCCCCAGTAACAATGGACCCCCAGTAACAATGGACCCCCAGTAACAATAGATCCCCAGTAACAATAGATTCCCCAGTAACAATAGATCCCCCAGTAACAATGGACCCCCCAGTAACAATAGATTCCCAGTAACAATGGACCCCCAGTAACAATAGATCCCCCAGTAACTATGGACCCCCAGTAACAATAGATCCCCCAGTAACAATGGACCCCCCAGTAACAATGGACCCCCAGTAACAATGGACCCCCAGTAACAATAGATTCCCCAGTAACAATGGACCCCCCGTAACAATGGACCCCCAGTAACAATAGATTCCCCAGTAACAATAGATTCCCCAGTAACAATGGACCCCCAGTAACAATGGACCCCCAGTAACAATAGATTCCCCAGTAACAATCGATCCCCCAGTAACAATGGACCCCAGTAACAATAGATCCCCCAGTAACAATGGACCCCCAGTAACAATAGATCCCCCAGTAACAATGGACCCCCCAGTAACAATGGATCCCCAGTAACAATAGATTCCCCAGTAACAATAGATCCCCCAGTAACAATGGACCCCCCAGTAACAATGGACCCCCAGTAACAATAGATTCCCCAGTAACAATAGATCCCCCAGTAAACAATGGACTCCAGTAACAATAGACCCCCCAGTAACAATAGATTCCCCAGTAACAATGGACCCCCCAGTAACAATGGACCCCCAGTAACAATAGATCCCCCAGTAACAATGGACGCCCAGTAACAATGGACCCCCCAGTAACAATAGACCCCCAGTAACAATGGACCCCCCAGTAACAATGGACCCCCAGTAACAATAGATCCCCCAGTAACAATAGACCCCCGAGTAACAATGTATCCCCCAGTAACAATGGACCCCCAGTAACAATAGATCCCCCAGTAACAATGGACCCCCCAGTAACAATGGATCCCCCAGTAACAATGGACCCCCCAGTAACAATAGATTCCCCAGTAACAATCGATCCCCCCGTAACAATGGACCCCCAGTAACAATGGACCCCCCAGTAACAATGGACCCCCAGTAACAATGGACCCCCAGTAACAATAGATCCCCCAGTAACAATCGATCCCCCCGTAACAATGGACCCCCCAGTAACAATGGACCCCCAGTAACAATAGATTCCCCAGTAACAATAGATCCCCCAGTAACAATGGACCCCCAGTAACAATAGATCCCCCAGTAACAAGGAACCCAAGTAACAGTAGATCCCCCAGTAACAATGGACCCCCCCAGTAACAATGGATCCCCCAGTAACAATGGACCCCCCAGTAACAATGGACCCCCAGTTACAATAGATTCCCCAGTAACAATCGATCCCCCCGTAACAATGGACCCCCCAGTAACAATGGACCCCCAGTAACAATAGACCCCAGTAACAATGGACCCCCAGTAACAATAGATCCCCCAGTAACAATGGACGCCCAGTAACAATGGACCCCCCAGTAACAAAAGACCCCCCAGTAACAATAGATCCCCCAGTAACAATAGACCCCCAGAAACAATAGACCCCCCCAGTAACAATAGATCCCCCTGTAACAATATATTC